GTGAGTATAGATATTTCAACTTTAGCTGAGTTGTATACTGTAACATGGAGCTAGTAATTCTTTTCAACTATCTGCAATCAATCAACCATCTATTTTTCTAACCATCTATTTCAGTCATTAAAGTAAACCTGCGAAATTATTCTACTTAACTAAAGTTTTCATTATCGAAGGAGAAGTGTCGTATTGAGTAATTTAGTTCATTTCCAAAGCTGTCAATCAAATGTTCACTATTGGTGCTAGCTAGACTAATTGATTAGCAGGTGTTTGTCCTTGGATCTGTCTGTCACCCTTGGATATTGTTTCTAACCACTCTTGAAGCTAACTTTGCAAGATTAAGTTACTGTATAATTATCTCGGAATTAACAATTGCTCGACGACAGTTTTACCTTCTCGACATGGGGCAGAGTAATTTAGAGAGTTTAGGCAAACCTAATTTTCGTTTACCAGGCAGTTTTTTAAAAACTGCTTTAATTTTTTCAACCTCGTCATAATTAAACGCGAGTTTTAGCACAGAGTAAAATATCAATTTCAACTTTTCCAGCTACGGACTATAACTTATCACCCCACAGCATTTTCTATCTACATGATCAATAGTAACGCCTGGGTGATCCTACGGGTTTTCCTCAGCTCTGCTATTTATAATTTGACTGCTTGAAATATTTAGCTTTTTACGTTTAGATTTACACTTTTTGTGAAGTGTCTTCTATTTTTACTGTTTCTACAGGTAATTTCTTTTGCTGAAAAGATTGGTAGTCAAAACGTTGTCCCGTAAAAAAACCCTAAAATATAGTTCCTTTCATCGTAAATTAGGAGTATTCACCGTTGAACACTGCTTATGGGTCACTTTTGTAGCTTTGAAATCAGACTTTGACAGTTTAATGTACAGATTTTCGCGACTAGGCTGAGTGTTTGCAGACTATTGAATCTACTTGGAAGTCTGTGACTGATAAAATTATCTATTGCTATATACTTAAATGCGTAAAAGGAAGTTAAGATAAGCGAAATATTTACATTTAAGAAAAAGTGAGCAAGATCAAACCGAAGGAGTGGTTTACACTGAAGGTCCGACAAACACCAGTTAAACCTAAAAATTATAAAATTGTCATGAAATCAGATCACATCAGCGACCAACTCTAGAAGTATGCGACCAAAATGCGGTCTTTTCATAATTTTGCGAGCCACTGTTTATGACTTTTGCTACTTACACGCACTGACAAAAATGGTTTATGGTTGATTTTAGTATGAAAAAGTAAGTTGATTAAATTAAGATTAATTTTAGTATGAACAAAGTACGTAGATTAAATAAAAAAGATAACGATTGATTTGGATCAATTTAAAATCGCTTCAAATTGATCTTGAATCACAGCTACAAAAATTGATCCATATCGATTTTAAATCGATTCAAATCGATTTTTTTTTCCATTCAAGTTTGATCAGTTTCAAATTTTTATTGCTATTATTCATTGCCTATCATTTTTCATTTTTCATCCATAGCAAATTGTAGCATAAAAAGACCAAATAGAAAGACCAAAATATCAATAAAACTCTATGATTTCTTTGCAAGTTTTGAGTTCAAAAACTGATCTATATTGACCCTTTTTTTGTTTCGTTCGATAAATTTTTGCTCAAAATCTGATTTACATTCATGATTTTTTATGATTTAATTGCATATTATTGAGATCAAAACTTAATTTTTTCTGACCTTTTTCTTGTTTGTTACGTAGAATTTTTCTATAATCTGATTTACAATGATTTTCTATGATTTCATTTCATATTTTTTTGAGCTGAAAATTTGATTTATATGAATAGTTTTATTAAATTCTATAACATCTGGCACGTGTGTTTTTATTTTTTAATTAAAATTAGAGAATAAAATATTTCAATTATTTTTTTAAAGAGTATATTTTTTACCATGTTAGCCTAAATCATTCCAAAATTTTCATGAAAGATCAAAAATCATTTTTAAATGGAGTTAATTGAGATTTGGTTGGATTTAAGCGAGTTTTGGATGGTTTTTTAGTGAGTCGGAAAATCCGTCCAAATAAATTTGAATCAATCTCTTAGACACTTGAATCGATCCAAAATTTTCAAAAGATTTAAAATCTATTTGAGTTTGTAAAATGTACATTGTTAATTGATTTGGATCAATTTAAAACCAATTTAAATTAATCCGAAACCATTTTTGTCAGTGCGGGTAAAGTCATGACTATCGCTACTTAATATCCGTTCACGGTTATGCATTTAAAATTTGGGTTGACATATTTGCGCAAAACCAAACGCGGAACTACGTGATATATATAAGACTTTTCAATAAATTAAGATTCCTCTTGTTGAAATTTTTTTCTTGCTCATTTTATTAATAGACATCAAATTTTTTCTGAATTATTTTACATTAATATGTTTTGTTCGACTATTAAGCCAAAAACATTAATTTTTTGGTAAAATTGAAACATTCAACTGATTTTCTCTCAATCAGTTTCGGTATTTGAAAATCAAAAATATTCTAAAAATTATTCTAATTACCAATACTTTTTGGGGTAGTGATATCTCATTTGGTTAATGTGGGGGATCGGTTACATGGGTAAAAATGCGCAGCGATGTTCAAAGCCCACACATTAGAACTGTAACACGTATTTCGCTCTAATTGCTAATAGCTTAGCTGCAGAACCAAGCTTTTACTAATTTTGATCTTTAGGTCTATTTGCATGGTAACATTAGTTTGATTGATTTATCAAAGCGGATTTTAATTCAGGTTCAATCTTTCTTTCTTTGTACTTCAATTTACTGTTTTTCAGACTCTTTTGTTCTTTTTTTCATGTTGACTGGTCAATGTAGAACTCACCAAAAATAAGTAAAAGAATTAAAGTTAGTTCTGAAGGTGTAAAACCTGTTTTAAAATATGACATCTAAGTAATTGCATAATTCTGATGAGGTTATTTTCTAAACAATAACTTGCCTGAAAATTGTAAATGAAAGGTATAGTTGACCTCCATGCTCCAGTGCTCACTTTTTCGTTGTGTTTTGATGAAGTCACCTTGTCAAATTGTGGGCAAACCGCGTAATTTTCCATCAATATAAAAACTCTCAAATCTAGTTTTCGATCTTAAAATTCTTTGAGGTTAAAAAAATAGAAGTCAAGGTAACATAAGTCATGGCTATGACAAAAGTTTCCTGCAACAACTATAAATATGAAAAAAAATGAGATCATTGTAGATTCTATTCATTGTATCAAAATTGAAACATAGAAGGAGGAGTATTATTTCTATCATTTACAAATACAAAAGGTGGATCTAGGATTACTGCTTGATAAACGCGGGTTCTTGTTTTTTTTCAAAACAAAAGTCTGGCATTAGTTGGACCAAATTATTTTTCTCAGCTCCAGAAAAGCACTGAAATAGACCCTTTCTTGCCAAGTTATTCAGCGCCTTTTGATTTGGTTTTGAAACAGTTGTTATCCAAAAACGTTTGGTTCACTTTCACGTTCAAGGTGTTTAACTTTCATGATGGATGAAGCTAACTCAATTATTCCCTATTATAACAAGGATAGCCGGTTGCTGTACAAGTAGCACTGAATGTTCCAACCATATTCAGAACTACGACCATTTTCTTCAAATTAGCTTCTTGTGAGTAGAGAACTATACAAACGCGTAGAAAATTAGTGAATTAGACATAAGCGACAATAGTTTTACCCAAATAATGATTTATAAGAAAAATTTCAACAAATAATAGAAAAATAACTTTCTGACTTTTTGCAGAATATATTTTTGGTTTTCACAAAAAAGTTTTATTTTAATAAAACGCTAAAGTGAACTTCCAAAACTAGTTTTGCGAAGTGAAACCAAGTTTCTATCTTCTTAAATGTACGTTTAGTCCAATTTCGAGCAGGTAAAGCGAGCAAGTCTTATACTCAAAATCTTCTTTCACAACATTTTGACAATTTTTAAGTATATTTTGATTCCAACTGGAATGCCTTGAAAATGATATATCACTTGCCATATTTTGCTGATTGTTTGTGGGAAAACAAAAAAAAGAAAAAAAAAATAAAACAGAGCTAAATACGAAGTTCCTCCCCATTATCAATGGACGGAGCAATGATTCCTCATAATTTTTATTAGCGGATTATGGTGGAATCTTTTTGCTTAAGTCTGAAATCTTCCTTGTAAAAATCATCTCACATTAAATAGCAAAAGGAACTACTGAGACACTTAAGGGATTGATATGAGGATTCCTTATTATGAGTATGTATTACCAGGCCCCAAAAGATTCTGCTAGCCGCAGAATTGGCCGAATTTGGCTAATAAAGCAGAAAATTTTATAGAGTAGCAGATAGAGTAGAATACCAATCAAACGGATCTACTTAACAATTGCCCCCCCCCCCCTTTTAAGAAAGGAGGGCAGTTGTTAAGTTGAATAAAATAACGCATTTTCGACCAAACAGATTGCAGCAAATTTGAGTTTTATATAAAAAGCTCTAGTGCTATTTACTGCTTTTATTAATATAGGTGGCAATTCTTAAGTAGATACCAAAGGGAGGACGATTGTTAAGTAGATCCATCAAACGACGGAATTTGTCGAATTTTCTCGAAATTTTTTTTTCAAAATAATAAATTGAAAGCTGCAATTCCTTTCTCGGAATTACCACATAAGCATCTATACTGCTAACCCAAAAAAACTGCTCACAAAAACTGCTCTATTTCTCAAAAATACGAAAAATGAATATATCCGCAACTAAACAAACTATTATTTTGCATCCTGAAAGGTCTCTGCTTGTTTTTTTTAAATTGATTTTTTTTCGAAAACCGATTAAAACAGTATTTTTTTGGTAATAAACGCATGATTTAATGAGAATTTTCATAGGCCAGAAAAAGCTGAATTTTTTCTATGAAGCAGCAGAGTTTGCTCAATACAGCAGCAGAATTTTTTGGACCTGGCGTGTTAACGAAGAATATCATGCTAAGCAAATAAATTTCTAAAATGATGCGATAGATTGACCTCAGTTAATTATCTAGCACCTTGTCAATAAATTTTTTGTATTGTTTTTCAGTAGAACCCATCATCATAATTTTCATGTCATTAGTATCAAGGTTTAAGTGTGAGTTATCAGGAACTGAACAGTTAGAAGGATATGTTTAGAATGAGTTGAGAGAAAGAGCAACGAAGCCCACAGAAGTAGCAATGGCGCGTACTATGAAGATGGTTTCGGCGTCATCCGTGATATATTCCACCGCCAACTTAGCCCCGAAGGTCGAACTGTACACTAAGCCGATAGCACATTCTCTCATCAGTTGGCCGAAACAGTGCTGCACTCGCAACACCTTGCCAGAATGTTTTACGTTTTATCCCATCAATTCAAAATCGTAAATTTTAATAGATTAACAAATTACGAGGCGAACAAGCCATTTTTTATGATTATTATAAAGCAGTCAGCTGGAATCATCTTGATTTCAAGACTCTGCTTTCGTGATAGCCGTTCAATTTGAGCTTCGCAGTCTTCAATTTCTATTTTCCTTTCAATTATAGATCAAAATGAATTGGTTAAAACCCTAATTTTATCATAATTTTTTTAAAAATATTGCTAAAAAAGTTGTTTTTGTTGAATATCAATAAATTTTTTGAACAGAAAACATCCCGACTTTGAACCCGTTTCGGTGTTTAGTTTCGGCTGCCACAGACCGGAGAAATCTGGCTCGGGTGAAGGGGGCGTTGTAGAGAGCCATGATGAAGAAGTAGGCCGAGACTGCAAACAGGGCATAGGGAACCAGCAGGGCTATATTTCCCGACTAGATTAAAGTACAAATGTGATAGATGTGCTCATCATAAAGCCCCTTAGATTAAAAAACCAAATCAATTCTTGAAAAAAAACTTCTTGAAAAATGGATTACAGTTTATGCTGTAATTTGTACAAAAGTTTATTAATTGTTGTTTTTCTTTCCCACATTTAGTTTTGATCACTTGAAGTCAAATCTTCAGTCAAATTTTTATAGCCAAATATTTTGAATGATGAATGTTGTCGTTTAACAGCACTACCAGTTTAACTTCCTCTATCCTCCCCCCCCCCCCCCCCTAAAAAAAAAGTAGTTTAAGTGGAGGATCTAACATTGGTTCTAAGTGGAAACTTTCAGCCAATCAGAATCCAGCATTTTAGATAAGGGCAGGGGCGGATCTAGGCGAAGGGGGGGATGGGGCAGATTTTTAAAAAAAAGTTTGCAAAATGTTGATAAAAAGGCATTTTTAGGCAGTTTTTGGAACATTTTGACCAAAAAACCGCGTTTTTCGGCGCGCGCTCCCCCCTCAAAATTAGTATAGATTGGCGCCCATGGCGCCTTCAGAAAAATTTTAAGGTCAGTCGGCCACAAATGGGTATCTCAAAATAGTACAAAGGGGGACCCTTTGGGTCGGCAGGGGTTCGAATCCCTGAAGAGAAAGCGTCCGCAAACGCCCCCGCCCCTCCACCTAAATCCGCTACTACATGGGGGGTGTTAGCTTGATCCCATATCTGCCATTTTTGTACCTGGATTAGCTTAGCCAGTCGACATTCGGGAACAGGAGTCTCGAAGGTCTTCGTGATCAGCAGACTGATGGCCAGTTCGAACAGAGCCATGTAGATTATGATGCTGATATATTGCGTGTGTTTCACGTCAAGAATCAACTGACGGCCCTCAACTAAGAACAATCTATATTGCGTATTTAGCTATAACATGACTGCTCGTATATCAGGGCAAAGCCCTAAATGTTCCGACTGCATTTTAAGGCAAATTTAAATGTTTTTTGGTTGAAAATTGGCGAAACAATAAGAGCGTAAGCTGTGTATTGGATAGGCACACAGTTTGGTGTATGTAGATCAGTGAAATCCAGAGACAATTTTTTTTGAACCTGTTCCAAAATGTGGGTCAATTCAATTTAGAAAATTCCGTTGATTCCGCGTACAAATTTTTGTAATCGAATTTTTGTCGCAATGGATTCTGCCATTTAATTACAAACCGCAAAGTTGTAAGCGGAATCCACAAAAGTACGCGAGTTCGCAATATGTAAGCGTATTCCGCAATTTTGTTAATTAAACTGATTGAAACCAGTTCTTGCGAACAAAGAATTAAAAGCTAGAGCTAACTGTTTTTTTTTCTAGCAAGTGCGGAGTTTGAAATTCAGGACTTAACCATAGTCTGCCGAATCCGCGAACAAATCTTAAATCGTTGCTTACTTAAAATCATGGATGTACTCCTTTAATATCTGTCATACACATCCCAGCAATCTGTTTTGGGGATCACTATTTGAGAACACATCATCACACCGAATAAGCAAAATCACTATTTGGGATTAGCGAGTTTTGGATGTGACTTGGTGATTTGTATTTGATCAAAGCTCTGAATTTTGACCTCATTATGCTGTAATTCTCTAAAATTATAACTAATTTAGTTGCATTATACGAATTTGAAATGATCAATTCAAAATGTTTTGAACCTAATCTTGAAGCTTTTACCCCTTGATTCAAATTGAAAAATCGATTACATCTGGAGAATAAATTACAAAATTTGCCTAAAGTTAGTTTGAAATTATGCGATGAAAGCTAATTTGAAAAAAGTTTTATTGTGAAGTAATCCAAGATTTAGCTTATTTCAGTTAGTTTTCATTGTTTCAGTGTTCGAGACATGGGAAGTGTCTCATTGTTTTGACATTTGAGATATAGTTGGTGGGTTTTACCTGGATAGAAAGATGGTCATCAAATGATGTTATTTTGATGGCAGTGATTGAGATTGAATTAACCCAGATTGAACTGTTGTCCGAAAATGAGATTGAATTTTTGGCAGTAGATGAGATTGAATTTTGAAAGAGAAGGAGTTTGAAATGTCATAAATTCTCGCTGGTGACTTACAAAAAAAACAGAGTCATTTTTACAATGTTATGCAACTTTATTTCTAATTAAATTCCGCAAACAAAATTAGGTTTCCACCTACAAATTGTAGATTTTTCGTACATTTGCGGATTCGGCGAAAACGTTATGTTACAATACACATATAGCTTGCTTTTTGTGTGGATTCCACAAACTGTTCCGGATTCCGCAAATTTTGGTTGCTGATTCCAACGAGTCAGCTATATTTGGAGCGATTTTGAGCTATACAGTGATTTAACTACTTGTTCGTGGAATCTGAAGCAGCAGAGGAAAAAAAACATGCCACGGATTCTGCAGGAAAACTGATTTCGACCTGTTGAGGAACTCGCTCACAATTCACAAAAAGCACAGTTTGTCCTCAAAATGAAGATTCGAAAAAATGAAGTTATTTTTCTTCTAAATTTATCTTCCCTATAAACTGTAAGCTACAGAGATGGGTATTTAGTTTCCTGTTTTTGAATTTGGAACGCAATGTATTGCCACTTACGCGTGTTATAAGAAATCGAAATATTGCGCGTTAAGTATCCATTATTTATCAAGTTAGCAAATTTGAAACCCTCATGTTTTACAATAAACTATCACAGTTGAAATATTTTTAAAATTGATATCAGGAAAACAAAACTTTTCAGATTGTATAAATTTCAAAATCAAAATTAATTAGTTACAAGGTCAAAAATTGACTGAATAAATAAAACCTCCCCCAAGCATAAATAATCTGTACTTTCTTCAAAAGTCGGAACGATAATTTCTGATGGCTTCTAAGAATCATTTGATGCATTCAGTTCAAATCAAGTAAAATATTCATCTCTGACGAGCGGTTTTAAAGCTGAGATTTTTGGATAATTGGTGCGTTTTATGCAAAATATGCTTTTCTAACAGCCTTCAATTCGGTGGCAATAATCAACTAATTTATCATATTTTTAATCGAAGTTTTAAATTGTAGTAATTATAAATTTTAATTTCCTGGCTCGAGGTTATTTTAATTTTTTTTTTCAAAATCATTTACATTTGAAGGATCATTAAATGATGCGTGAGTAATTTTCTGCTACCATGCTGGAGGCTATAATGATAAAAAGTATAGTATTCAAGCCAAAGCTTATAAAGTGCTTAGTTGGTTCAGTATAGCCCTAGGATTGCGAAACGTTGGTAACAAAGTCGATCTTTAGAAAGTATTAAACCATATTACAACACAATTGTCTGTGTAAAAGCGACACCCTGCGTATGCCGACTGCACTTTAATGTCTATGGAGTGGTAATGGATTTTCAAACCGATCTTCGAGCATCATTCACGCTGTTTAAACAGACTTGGAAATCATTACCCACCCTAATAAATCTTGACCCATTTTTGCCCCGGATTAAAAAACGCTGACGCGTTAATATAAGGAAATATATCGCACGGTAGTTATGATCACACGTAAAAAATGGTCACACGTAAAAAAGATCACTCATAAAAATCATCACACATAAAAATGACCACACATAAAATTTTGAGCGCAAAGCATTAACAGTTTTCAGATGCTATAAAAAAATCTCTCAAAAGTACAAGTTTAAAAGTCAAAATTCGTCCAGAGGAACCACCACCCGAGCATGAATATTCCGTGTTTTTCTTGGAAAGTCGCAACAATAATTATATAACTTCTTGACTCAATTGAATTTGTGAAAAATTAAGTTATGTTTAAGTTTCAATTTGGGGTATAGTTTTAGCAATTAATGTTTTTTTTCTGCATATTTCTTGTAGACAGAAGAAACTTTGCGTTCGGCTGTGATACAGCACAAAAAAAAACTTTTTACGGCCCTAACTGATAAGTCAAATTCAAACAGTTCCAATTGAGCTGTATGCAAGAAAATCTTTACATTTTTCAGCTCCGAGAATAATCTCAGGGATTTTCCCCTCGCAATAGAAACACGATAAAAATAGCCTATAATAAAATCAATGCCAATTAAATTTAGTAATGAGAATCATAAGCCGAAATATTAATAGCTGGGTAAAAAATCATACCAAATTTGGTTAAGAGTTATCACAAAATTTCTCTGTCGTTCTTAAAAAATTTGTTTGTACGGAAAAAGATGTCAAAAATATTTTGATTCCCATTAAGTGCCATGCAGAAGACAGTTGATCCAATTGATACCTTTTTTAAACTGAAAATCTTGAAAAATATCAACTTATATAAAGTTAAATATGTCATTGTCCTCTCAACTTAAATTTTGTTGTTCTAGATTAAAAGCTCATAATTTGATATACTTCGTTCATCATTTCACTACGTAGGTTTGGCGCAATTTACAATTGACTAAATTAAGACCATTCTTAGTACAAAATTTTGATTCCCAATTTTGAAATTTAAATTGCCATATAATAATTCTTCTAAAACTCTAAAAAAAACTTTGTTTTCATTAAGTTTTGGCGAATTTTAACCAAATTTGAGAGAAACACGTAAGATTTCCAAATTTTTTAGTTCTGTCCGGATAATTTAAATCAGCACTGTAATTTCGCAGTGATTTAATTTGAAAAAGTATGGTGCTGGGTAAAAAGTGATTTTCTTATGACTTAAAACAGAAATTTTAATTCCGTCTAAGCTCAGAAAATCCAGTCAAAAAATTTCAAAATGAGGTTTGCTGATTTGTTTCATGTTTCTCTTTAAAGCTTTCAGAACTTTTGCGTTGTAGGTAGATGTTTTTGATTCTTAAGACAACTAGTCTCGATTTGAAATTATATCACAAAGGGTTAAAACTTAAAGGTTTTGACCTGACACGATTGTTTACATAGTTTTATGAAATTTAGGTTGTGTTGTACTTTAACGCTTTTAAAAGAGAAGAGGATCTTTTTAACTATACCACCCTTTTGCAAAAAAGGGAGAGGGAATTCGTTACTAGATATAAATTTTTGATATGTTTAACCGTTGATTAATTTCTTTATAAGGGGATAACAATACTAAGTAACTGAGAGGGGATATAGTTGAAGAGATCCAGAGAAAATTGTGAAATCAAAAAGAATTTGTTTGTTTTCAAATTGTCACTGCCGAACCAGAAAAAAAGTAACTTCTACTCAAAATTCTACACTTGATATTTGATTTTTTCCAAAAATTATGGTGTTTCAAAAAAAACTTTCCCCCAAAAGCCATTAGATTTGTATTAGGGGCAGTCGGAACATTCAGGGTTTTGCCTTGATACACGAGCAGTCTGGTTGTTCCGATTTTCAAAGAAAATTCGGAATATGTATGCATGGGGTGGTTTTATTTTTCAGTCAGTTTTTAAGATCTTAAATTCTTAAAAAGGATTTTTAAAACATCAGAGAAATATTGTTTTCCTGAGCTCAAAACTGAAAAACTATTTCACTTTTAAATATTTTTTGTAAAGTTACGGGGGTTTTAAAAATAACAAGACTGCTCGTATCAGGGCGAAGCCCTGAATGTTCCGACTGCCTTTTAATGTTTAATAAAATGTAATAAAAATGAAAAAAAAAATTCTAGTTTGAAATTTTTTATGAAAATCATCCCCCCACACGCCATATAAAGTACAAAAAGATAGATTTCGCTCCTTTTAACAAATCAATTATGGCAAATAAGCTTCTTCCAACTAAATTGGAACGATTTCTAAGACGGATTAAATCTCCGCTTACGCGTTAATAGCGCGAATTATATCGCGCGTTAATTGTCCACAATTGGTCAAAATGGCAATCTATAAACCCTCATAACTTCACGAAAAATGATCACAGGTGAAATACTTTTTCAAATTCAAGCTCAGGACGACAATAGCTTTCGAATGATAAAAAAATGCC